GTGTTTCCTAATTAGAATCTGTTACTGTGTGACTTGGGAATGGATACTGCTTGATTTTTGATTTACTTAGGAAATGACTCAAAGTGATGTCTGGGAATGGCTACTGCTTGGTTTTTTGATTTCCTTAGAAAAGGATTCTGGGAATGGCTAAGGGTACATTTTCAATTCTGTGGTAAGCTTGGAATTGTGGAAAAGGCTATGCTGGATACTGCACAGAATTGCAGCATTTGGTGTATAGTCTGGATGCTATGTATACTAAAAAGTGGGCATTGAATGGTTAATGTAGTGAGGGATGTTGACATTGCACAGATTTGATGATATAAGGAGGGATGTGAATTGGAATATGGTTTACTGTTTCTACATGTGTGGATAATATGTAATGGTCACATGTTGAGAAAAGATGAAGTTTGGTCTCCAATTAATTGGAGTCCAATTAACAGTGATAGAAGATTGTTTCTTTGAAAATTGTCAACATATGTAGCTTGGGAGGATATGCATACGGAGGGTATTAGTGCTTGTGACAGATTTGATGTGTGGGATTGCCTGTACTACTGTGACAATTTTGGAAAAGGTTCCACAAACAATTGTGCAGCCACCATCTAACCTATGCTGCACAAGTGGACCGTATTTTATGTTTGAGAAAACAATGTTTGTGTGTCCATATTGTACCAATACATTGTAAGCTGCTGTGTCCATATCGTATCAATCAAGCTGCAATCTTTTTTGGGCAAAAATCAAAACTTGATCATTTGTGCAGCCATCATTTAACCTATGCTGCTACAAATGGTTTTGTAATCTGTTGGTATCAAATTGGAGGTGTGATAAGGCTGGGAATGGATAGAATATTTGGTGCCCTAATTTCAATTGTTGGGTGTTTGGGTGTTTGACTCCTTGAATGCTGATCGATTTATTTCAACTGATACAATATTGATTGCAATGGTTGAATCGATTTCTGGACATTGGATGCTATCTTGATGAATCGATTTCTGGACATTGGATGCTATCTTGATGAATCGAACTCTTGATGTTTGCCGTATATGACTACTGTTGGTTTTATCGCATCGTGGGATTTGGATTAGCTATGTCGATATCGATCTTCTTCAATCACGATGGATAATATCGATGGTTTGATCTCGGTCGCGGTTCTGGAACATACCGATCTGTTTGATTTGGTTTGTTGACATTGAGTTTTGAATGTTGGAGTTCGTATGAAGCGGCTGTCTTGTTCTTGTGGATCATAGAAGGTTTGATCTGGTTTGGATTGTAGTGTTTTTTGTTTTGGTGTTTTTGGGCTTTTCTAAAAGAAGAAGTATTTGGGCCAATATGGGCTCAAGTAGCTGGTGATAGGATGGATTCCTATTTGGGATATACCACATGGCAATTGGGCCAAATATTGATCCTTGATTCTCATGGACCTTTTTGATGGTATGTATGATTGGGCTGGTGTGTATTGGCCTGGCCCAGGAATGCCGGAGGACCGGGACCGGCAAAGGACCGGCCCGGGACCGGTTATGGGACCGAAAACCGGGAGCGGTTGGGGTTTTTGGTAGTTTCGTGGGACCGGAACCGACCGGGACCGGCTATGGCCTGGCCCGGCCTGAAAATTCAAATAATTTTATAATGTATTTTTATAAGACAATGTAATTTTAATTATATTAAAACACATTTTTAAAATGTATATGACTGACCCAATTGTAAATTTTATAATGTATTAAATATATATATCATTAAAAAATTTTAAAAAAATCTTATTTTTTAATGTCGGGACCGGGACCGACGACCCATAACCGGTTATGAAGGACCTTGACCGGTCCTACCATTTTCAACCGGGACCAGTTGTGGCCGGTTATGAGAAAGCTTATGGCCGATTGGGACAGTACCAAACCGGCCCGAGACCGGTTTTTGGCCGTCACTACTCCTACCTCACAGACTGATTTGGGCTGATGGTGTTTGGGCTACATGGATTGTGGACTATGGTGATGTTGATTGGACTGTTTAGATGGACTCATATCTTTTATTACTTCATAGTTTGGATTTGTTCCCTTTCTAGATTTAGTAGTGGTTGTGATCCTTTTATTTGGATCTTGGTTTTTTAGTAATCTCTCGTATTGTAAAATGGGTATGCTCATTTAACTTTCAGTAATATTTTATCTTATTCAATAAAATTTTCCTGAGGTTCTGTTCCCCTTTTCCAAGAAAAAGGGATTACTAGAGCAATGGAACAGGTAGGATGTTCAAGGGTACTAGAATAATGTTTTATATGAACATGACGACATCAAAGAGACATGATATAAAGTGAAACTTGAAGCTAACAGGTTACGAGAGTATTGTATTGGTGGATATTAGAATCACATAGAGAACGTAATGGTCGCTTTCGAGGTAGAGATTATGTGAGATCGATCAAATGTTGATGAAATTAAAGAAACTTAAGGACCATATGGGCATGTGTTGGATGTCATGACTTATGTACGTAGTATATAAAATAAGCTGATGGACCTTGCAATCTGAAAAGCAGTGGATGAGAGTATTATATTGTGGACTAATTAGTGGTATATACTAAGGATGCTCCAAGTTATGTAGGATGTGTTGTTAATAACTAGGCCATGATGCTACAGGAGAAGGTATTCAATATTGATGGAAATTAAGGAAACCAATAACACTAATAAGTATGTGTCAGGTGTTAGCAATGTTGTGGATCTAACCCTCTAAGCTAATATTCAAAGGTTAGTAGGAGAAAAATAACTACGATAACTAGACTTTGAACGTAAAAGTTGTATTTTGTCAAGACTAATAGGATCGTAAATCTTCATGATTAGTGAAACTTTTGGGATTTTTTTTTTTTTTTTGTAAGGGTGTCCGGGCCAAAGCCCGACTAATCCCCGGCAAATTTGGAGGCTAAACATGGCCCCACTTAAATGTCGCCAACACTTCCCTCTCAGGGCTCTAACTCGGGTTCATGACTATGTCATGCCCAAGCCTTTACCACTCGGCAAATTTTGGGATTTTGTTGGCTTGAATTACAAAAGGAGAACATCAAATGCATATATGAGAAAACAAGCGCATAATATGAAGGTATTGGAATATGTGATCAAATTGATAATGAGAGATTATATCCATGTGCATATGACGTGAGGTATTAGAGGATAACTGTATTACCGGGAACTTGACAATGTGGTTGACAAGACTAGGAGACGATCAAATAATGCATGAATTTCTTGATAATTATGTGGTTTACGTTGTTATGGAGGTAGTTTATGCAAGTAATAAACTTTAAAAAAGTCAAAAGGAATACATATATACTAGGACAGAGTCAATGTATTAGCACAGTGGAGTTTAATGATCAAGTAATGGTTTTGAGCAATTTTTTAAAGCAGGCCACAATTTAGTTCATCAGTGATTCTTGATGAGGATTCAATTATTGTATTTAAGGATGCATGTGTTGATTCTCTAGGATAGATGATTAAGCAGTCAATTGCATATTAGTCATGATAGAGAGAAAGGTATGATAAACAACACTTTGGAGTCGGGAATGGTTATGATATGCATATGGAGGAAACTAATGTTGTTTCTTTGATACAAATCAGCTTATAAATAGTTGCTAACTAATAGCTAAAAATTTAATGAATGAACAAATCATGTTATATAGAAAATACTTGATTTAAAAGAAAAAATAGTCGATTACAAAATTTTATGATGTAATTAAAACAAATAGTTAATGATATATAATATTGTTAATTAATACAAACAAAATCAGTAAAAAATATTAAATAATATAATAAATTAATCTAAACAATTTCAAATTAATTATCATTATTATTATTATAAATTTTGGATTTCTTAAAACAAATTTTAGAAAAATTTGCATTAAGTAATGATTTTAAATAACCATTGCATATATTACGAATAAAAATAGAACTAGTTAACCTCACATATTCTAATTAAGAATTTTTCAAAAAATATAATTAATAATTCAATTAAATATTTTATTAAAATTATTTAGCATAATTTTATTACCTATAAAATAACATAAACTTTAATATTTATGTAACTTACATAAACATTTTTTAAAGTTATTATATTCATTTTTTGATAACTAAAAATATTGGAACATAATTATATATATATATATATAATATAAAAATAATATATTAATTCTAAATAATAAATGATGAATGTTAATGTATAATGTATAGACAATTCCTCAATATCTTGTTCATTCGCAACAACAAAAAAATTGTGTTTTCAATTAATGGTAATTACTATTAATTAGTAATTAATATTTAGTAATTTTAGTAATAATTAATTCTTATTAATAACTAATATCTTATAATATTTATTTATAATTAATAATAATATATAACAATTAATATTAATCAAAGTTATAATGGAAAAAAAAAACTCCTAAAATGCTACCAACTAGCGTTTCAATAAGTTAACTTATTATATTCATCTTATAAGGTAATGTTAATGTATAATGTATAGACAATTCCTCAATATCTTGTTCATTCGCAACAAAAAAAATTGTATTTTCAATTAATGGTAATTACTATTAATTAGTAATTAATATTTAGTAATTTTAGTAATAATTAATTCTTTATTAATAACTAATATCTTATAATATTTATTTATAATTAATAATAATATATAACAATTAATATTAATCAGAGTTATAATGGAAAAAAAAAACTCCTAAAATGCTACCAACTAGCGTTTCAATAAGTTAACTTATTATATTCATCTTATAAGATAACTCATGTTTGTCAAACAATGCTTAAATAAGTATGTTTAAATATCATGAGAAGACAAAAATGAAATGTTCATATGTGAATAACCGAAAGAAAATCCTTTGGAGATAAATAAACTATTTGCTAGGAAGAGGCCTTTAGTGTATTATACATTAACATTATACAAATGATATCTACAACCTCCCGTTGGGATATGCTTGTTTGGTACGGTTTGTTCTTTTAAAATCAGGGGGTTAGTGATTTAACGAACATAGTGACAAGCAAAGGTACTCGATATAGACACCTCCAACGTGGATAATGAGCACAAATTACAAACAATAAAAAGTGCTTTGTTCTATATCCCACAAGGTAGAATCTACGTGAATTAAAATAAAGGAGACCCTTGTCCTTCATAAATAATTGCTATTAAATCAATGTCTTCAAAGCCAACTGAAAAGTTATCGCAAAGTACAGTAAACAAAAGGAGCAAGTAACAAAACAGAAAAGTAGCTAATACCTAGCTCTGTATGTAAAAGTCATTGCACACCTCAAGAACGTGACCGTGAACGCACGAATTCTTCTAGTCTGTCCCAAACATCAAGTGCAGCAGCTCTGTCCTGATGCCTTTTGTTCTTGCTTATCTAAACATTGAAGATGAACCAGTTTAAAAGGGTTAGAACAACATGTACAGGACAGGTTTAAGTGAACCCCAAGTGCACAATAAATCATCTAAGCAAATCTCACCGATATGATTTTCACATTCCACTGCTTTACTATCTTTGCAGACTCGACACTGTCATCCTCAAAGCGCATGTAAAATCCAAGAACTGGAACAAACCAAATCAAGATAAATATTATCCAAATCCAACCGTATAAATTTCAAGGTTACATTATGAACTATGAATATCATCTTTATTGAATTCTATTACCACAGCTTCTTGTACCTTCTACACAGTCATGAACAACATGAAGAAACTTGGAAATATGCTAAGAAATAAAACAAAATCGAAATGCCATAAACATAATAGAAAAAAACATGCCTAATTTACACCTGCACCGAAGCCTGACTATGATTTCAAAATTTTGATCAAAAGCACGGTCATCTGAATTTTCAATTGACCATTTTGATAAAAATCCAGCATTTTAGTTAAAAAGAATTCTACTCAGATATCTTAAAGCATAAAACTACATCAAAACCAGATGCTAGTATCACTTACTTTTATTGAAGATCTCAACATGGTCCTTAAATGGCCAATCTTTAAACTGCCACTCCTTCCCCAACACGAAAACCGCCACTACTCGACCCCATTCCTCTGCCTTCAATGCAGAAGGCTTATCCCTCACCTCATAAGCTGTTGTCACCCTATCCCTACTACTAAACTTCTTCATCACTGTTACACACTCTGGTTTTGGACCCTTCATCTGCTTCATCTTTACATCAGTAGGTATAAACACTCCATCTTCTAAAAACTCCTTCACATTATAAATAGTAATCAGGGTCTGTGAAGCACTTGGAACCAAAATAATCGGCACCCCATCACCAATCTTACTCCCCTTCAAGTGCATTTTGGGCCTGGGAGCCCCATCTAACAACCCTAAATCATCTCCAAACCCTCTATCAATCCTATTCTTGGCTACCAAACCATCTTTCCTCTGCTGCGACCCTAATCTCTGCCTTTCCTCGTCCCTCTTTGTTGCAGCTGTAAGCACGCTATAAAAATCCATATGCCTGCACTCCAATATCATTTCACGGTCCTTTAACGGTCTTTCAATTGCCCTAACCAAGTCCATAGGGTTTTCACTAACCCCAACCCTAGGTTCCTGATTTTCAACATCCAATTCGTCGCCAGGTACCACATTCAAATTAGGGTAATCACCAATGCGGTACTCATGATTCTCGAAGTTTTGATGTTGAGGTTGAGGCGGCAGGAACTCAATAGCGTCAGTAGATGAAATCCTACCTTCCAGGTACTCAATTAAGGGTTTGCGATCGAGAAGAGTCACGGCGGGAATCTTCTGCGTGCCGGCGTTACGGATGTAATCGTGGTGCTTGACATTAACATTCTTGATGAAGTAAACTAGGGTTTCGAGAGTGTAGAGATTACCTTGTTTTGATCTGTAAGCCGTTTCAATTGTGCAGGGGAACGAGTAGGATGAGCCGAATCGGTACTCGTTGTCGAATCGAACGATTTTGTCGAGCTCGTTTCTCATCGTCATCTCCCGGAGAGCCGTTAGAGGATCCATTGCTGTGTGTGTCGAGTTCGAGGAGTTCTGGTATGATGCAACGAAACTCCCGGTGGCAATATTTCTGGTTTAAGTTCTATTTTCAGTCTACTGACTTTTTATTTTATTCATTTATGGCCCTCCAGATAAGGGTCAATTCATGTTTCAGTCCCTTTATTAGTTAAGACCCATTATTCAAGGACATGGTCGAAGCTATCTTCGACGGTGGTCCCACGTTTCTGTGTTTTATTTACTTAATCAAAGTATATGATTCACATCTAATGGTATGATATGACAATATGGTTGGCTTAATTATACCTGAGGAATCATCATCATATCATAGGATGGTTGTTCGATATTCTAATCGAAGACGATATAGAACAATCCATATAACATCTTTTTATTTTTCAGGCTGGAGACCAGTGAAAATCTTCAAGGCATTCATGTATAATTATCCATTTACACTTGTTAAAAGAGAAAAGAGGGAAGAAAAAGTGTAAAACACTAAAAGTTAGAACTACCCTTGAACATCTTATCGGCCATCACGTTAAATACCAATGAAAAATCATCATTGCATAAAGGCCCATCTACACCTACTAAAATGAAAAAGAGGGAAGTAAAAACACTAACAAATTGAACCAACCTTGTTACATCTTATTGGCTCTAAGGCTAAAGACCAATGAAAGATCGTCGTCGTCGTCGATACATTCTTGCATAGAGATTCATCTACCTCCTATTAGAACGGGAAAGAGGGAAGCAAAAAAATAATAACAAATAGAATAATCAAATCTTTTTGCTGATCATATTTTCCCTTTTTATCTTTTTATTCTATTAATGATCGATTATATTTAACCCTATCACACTTATTTTCTAATTCCATGGTGAAAAACGGATTTGCGAAGGTTGATAGTAATCTTTTATCTTCCAACTAAAACATTGCGTTATGAAGCATAGAAATCATGAACTACAGATTATGAGAAGAATATATGTTTTACTTGCCCAAATGACCTAATTCCACGATGTGTTATCCTCACATTGCCTTCTCTAAACATGAAAAAATATTAGGCCATGAAACAAAACATTGTCTATTAATAGATCCATGACAGTCAATAAAGCAGTGGCTTATCTGTAATCTATACTATTTTATTAAGCATATTCACTCAAAGTCTTAAAGTAATAAATTTATAAATACCCAAAATACCCTTAAATACTTAATCACAATCTAATGCATTTGATACTACCTTTTAATGCATAAAGTACACAACCCTAATGCATTTGTTACTACCGCACAACTCTTGCCCCATAAGAACACACACACACTCTCTCCACCCTCATCATTCCCTTTACAAACGCTCTATCCAAGGCGACGTTCCACCCTCAACATCCCCTTTCCAACGCTCCCTGGCTCTTAAAAGAGACGATTCAGTCCCCAAGGGAACGATTCAGGCGATTGATAACCCTAGGGTTTATAAACGATCGATCCTCTCCTCTCTCGCTCCTACAGCGCCTCTTCCACATGATTCATACGATTGTTCATACTCCCCTCTGGATTCATACACTCCTCTTGAAGATTCCACTCTCGATTCAAGGTAATTATTTTTCCTCTCACATGGTTGTTCATCATCGTCCCTTCTTCTTCTTCAAGTTCTTACTCTTTGTTCATCTTTCTTCTCCATTTTCACTTCTGGGTTAGGGTTAATTGTTTTTTAACTTGGCCCAACTCATTATTGTGTACCCTATCTGGTTTTGATTTCATACGAACACACAGCTTTTGTGTTAGTTTTTTTTATTTCATACAAACACACAGCTTTTGTGTTAGTTTTTT